AAAGGCAGCTGATCCTTTTTGCACACCGGTCTTGTAAAAAAGGTGTAAAAATAAAAAGCTGTTCTGAGTCCTTTCCCCAGGATTACTCTGCATTCGGCTGCAAAAACCTTTTAAGGGGATTTGATTATGAAGACCGGCTCCGTTGCTAAAGCCCAGGCGAGGCCAGGATTGTCACATCAAAGGGATATTTAGCCAAGGTCAAGAGATAAGGCAGAAGAGGCTCCTCTCATAATCTCCAGAAAACAACACCAGCTTCTTCTAAAAGCAAGCCAGTGGTTCACCCCACAGCATCTCGGGTGGGTCCACCATGAAGGGCTCCCTTACCATAGTTTAACACCCTTAGCCCATCTCGGGGAGATGGGGGGGGGGGTGTTGCACCCAGCAAGGAACCCTTTCCGGACAGATTTGGGGTTATATTTCTTTCAAAGCCGAGGTGGTGCAGTGGTTAAATGCAGCACTGCAGGCTACTTCAGCTGAACTGCAGTTCTGCAGTTCGGCTGTTCAAATCTCACCGGCTCAGGGTTGACTCAGCCNCTCTCTCTCTCTCTCTCTCTCTCTCTCTCTCTCTCTTTCTCTTTCTCTTTCTCTTCTCATTCAGCAAGGCAGCTAGAATTTCTGAATGGATTGCAGGCGACACTTAAACTAAGTGCACTGAGATCCCATCAAAAGCAGGTGGCTCCCCCAGAATGTACCAACGCTTTGGGTCAAAATTGGTTGGGTACCACAACTATTGTGGTGCTTCTTCATTTAAATCAAGAAAGCCCTTTTCCTGTTGATGTTTATTCCAATCGCGGCTAGATCTCCATAAACGTTCTCTTTTAAATTTCAGGGTATGACCTACCTCTGCATTTCGGCTTCAGACTCCTCCAATCAAAACTTGTAAGTTGTTTCAAAATTGTTCCAGGTGCTGCGAGGGTAAAAAAAAAAAAAAGTCGTTTCAGAAATAATTTGGGGTTTTTTTTGACACGAGAAAACAAAATAGAACAGCGAGACCCCCATGGCGGCGTTCTATCTCATCGGTATCTTGATGGCCTTATTTTCACAACACAGAAGACACAACCTGTTCTCATCCCTTCCATTTCTTTGATCTTTTTTAATGCGCCTCTGGTTGTCGCGCTGTGTCTAAGTTTACTTCTCTTCTGTCATGTTCTCACATCATACGCTGAATAACAACGATTTCTTCGATGGTGAATCAAAGCTGTAGGACGCCGTGCGACATTTCTGGCGTAATCATTTCCCGGAGTTTTTTTGATCTTACAACAATAACAGTTTATATCCATTACATAGGTATGTCTAGGCAGTCAAATTGGCTACTCATTAATCCCTTTCATTATATAGTTACTATCAATATATATATACATATCCAATTCCTACCTATCATACAATATTAATACCATATTTTCCAATTCTTAACTTATCCGTGTTTTCCTGTCCCGACTTTTTCCCCTCGTTTCTAACCATTGGTACCATTCGTCCCAGATGGTTCCACCACAAAACCGCGCTCGAATAAACCGCGTCCGACTAAACCGCGTCGCTGACGTCATCAACAGGGCGACAACAGC